GGATTGACTCGCGAGGAATATGATTCAGAAGAAAGGAAGAGGTCAAAAGAAGAGAAGGTTTTCCTTATGACGAACCTGAGGGATCTGATAGTCCAAGAGGGAGCAGCAGTAGCGTGTGCGAAGCGGAGAGACGCTCTCTGTTTCATTCGATTCATGATATAGCAAATTTCAGTACCTGCATTGAACACTTGTGTTAAGATGCTGAGGGAAAGCGATGAGCGAGCGAAAGCCTTACTCTTGCTAGCACTGCTGGATATGCAGCAAAGCAAACCGATGAGGTTGAACATGAAAGAACCCGAGGAGTTAGAACCCATGAGAAAGATAGACGAAATCAGGAGATTCTCAAACAAGGAGCTGAGTCTCACTAAAAAATCTATGGGGGCACTGCCGAAATCCAGTGAATACTGTGGACCGAACAAGAAGAAGTCGTACAGTTACGTATCCGGAATCATAGGGATAGCGTACAATCCTTTCGTGAGTGAAGTCATACGCGATTGCTTCTTCGACTACGAGCAGGCAGTGTTACTAAGATTCTGGACGTCGAGAATTGTAACAATTAAGAGCACTAATAATCCACAGACCAAATTGGGACAGGTCTTGGAAGAAGAGAAGACTGCACCTTCCGGACCAAAATCCGACAAAAGAGTGGAGTTTGGGTTTGGATTCTCAGATGAATTACTGAGAACGAGCTTGATGGCAGTGTGGGAATTGATGAAGCCATCATGGTGTCCTAGTCCCAACGCTGACTTGATATTACGGGCGACACAAGATGTGCAGAGGGAACTGAATGCAGACTGTAACCTGCGTGACCTTAACATCATATATAATGCGATGATAACGGCCTCTAGGAGCAACGGTGAAGACAAAGTGGAGTTGCCTGGCTGGCGACCAGAAGACTGGGTCAAACCTGGTAGCTGTCTGGCGGAAGTCTGTGGACTGGAGGGTCACGTTTGTGGAGGTCTGGACTGCGTAAAGACCCTAGAGAAACAACACAAGCAATTGACGGTATTGTTTGGAAACGTCGTGATGAAAGCAAGAACGGAAACGGAACTGATAGCGGATTGTCATGGAGGAACCGAGGTGAATCTAGTGACTGCACTAGGATTCTACAGCATGTTTAGTTCTCTAGAGTCGCTATTGAATCTAGAACAGAGACATGAGATGGTCACAGCCATCAGTGTAGAAGTGTTCCCAGGAGTTCTGCAAACCGAGCAGAAATACATAGGAAAATGGAGGGAAGCGATCGAACATCAGACACAGTGAGACTTATTGTAGACCATCAGGAGCACGATATTTGGTGGGCTCGACATTGGCTCCAATGTGCAAGAGCAGATACCCGGTACATTTCGTAGCTGTGGATGTAAAGAGTACGAGAATGATCGTGGATCAAACCTTCTCAGTGCCGAAATGTGTGAGACTGGCGAGAATGTCCGAGAAATCTTACGAGTTGCTATGTAAGATGTTCTCAGTAGTTCTAGAGAGTACCAAGGAAGAGTTGGAATCGATACTAGGAAAGAAGTTCATGGGATACGTGAGCGGGAACTTCAGTGACTTTGAGAGACAGAAACAGAGAGGATCAACTGTTACAGATTACAATACAGTAGACGAGATTGATGAAGTCCACCGAGTGATGATGGAAGTGTAACCATTACTGGAAGCTTCGGAAAAACGTAATTGGAGGAGCATCATGTTGACACATGACGAGTTTCCCTGCCACTGCTTGCTGCAGACCTGGTGGTATCCCAAGCGTAGTAATCTGGTGTTGATCTGGGACTCTGGAGAGCTGCTCTCTATGGGTTTACCAGACTCATCACAGCCCATAACAATAGTGATAGTGGGAGTTATGATGGCGATACGATGGCTGGAAGCTCATGTGAAAGAAAACAATAGACAGGAGGCACCGACGAGAAAACAGTTGCGGAAATTAGATTGTCTAAAAGATTTAGATCTTTTTGAGACAATGTGCAATATTCTAAACATTCCGATGGAAGTGAAGAAGATTTGGGCAAGAAAACGATTAATGCCAAGGTTCAGAGCTAACATGACTGCATGGTTGTACGAATATGCTAAGAAGCATATGTCGAAGCACGGCAGAGTGTACAGTGAATATCAGCTGGACATTGGAGCAGGAGCTTTCAAGCGAGCTCTCGTGACTCATCGGAATGCAGTGACCACCGCTGTGAAAAGAATTTCCAGGACAAGTAAACGTAGTGAAAAGGAGAAGGCAGAGATGTTAAAGGAAGATTTGGAGAGAAATGTGACGTTGTGTCTCCACAACAGCTTCTGCAGGAACAGAGAATCTAACGTGGATCCCCTACCTTGTTGCAAAGAAAGGGTAGAAGAGCAGAAGTGTTGGAGGACGGCTTCCAACAGTGTCAGGATAGCTAACGACGTGTTGCAGGACACAGAAACTGAAAGTGCAGAGTCATTATCACAGGAGGAGGAGATGGAACATTGACGAATGGCCGAAAAACGAGATGCAAAAAGAGACGAAATAAGAAGAAATTAGAATTTTTAGAACTTCTAAACGACGAAAAAAGAAGAAAACAAAGGAGTGATGAAGAAAAAGTTAAAACTCAGAATTGTTTTATGTGTGTGAAAAAACTCAAATGAGAAACCAAGCAACCAAGTTGTAATTGAAAACTGAAACATTTAGTTGAGTTTTGAAGTTGTTGCATTTATAAATTTGCATTTTGATTTTAGTTAAGTGGCTTCAGATACACCTACTTACTATTTATTTAGAAAGGCTTGAGTGAAAGAGTATAGTTAAATAATCCAGCCTGCATGACTGTTTTTAATCAGCTAGGAGAACTGATCACTTTGTGGTGACATGAAAGGCTTGGGTAATCTCTCGAAGAGGAAGATTGTTTCATTGTTTTTTCTAACCACAGAGTTTCTTAGTTTTAATATTCAGGACAATAACAAGCGAGATTTCCGAAGGGAAGAAGCATAGTAGGATAATTTTAGCTTGTTGGTTGGCAGGACTGTCCTGAAAACCAACACCTTTTAAATTTAGGAGAAAAAGTTTTTAACTAGGACATTGACATTGGAAGTCGGAAAATGTGTTTTATCTTAGGTCATATCCTCAATGTGCAGATTATTGAAAGAATTTGAAGGCTATAGTGATGTAGTATGATGCCATTTATATTCTGCAGTGAGTCGATATGACGTGGATAAAAGTAATTTCGGGCATTTTGTAACTTCTGTTCGATGACACTGTACCTATTTTACGAACATTGCGAGTTTCAATGAGGACATTGACCGGACTGTCCGGGGAGTATGTGACTTTCGATTCAGCATATTCGAAATTTTAGCAGTGAACCTTCCGAATTGGCGATTTTGAAGGAATAAGAGCGTTATTAGAACGATTGGCCAAACGGTGAGGGCTAGAATATTCTGGTATTTTGAAATTTTAAAAATTCGAATTATGACGTCATATTTCTGAGAAACGTCAGAAACGGCCATTTTTGGCAGAAAGTCGAAGAAAAACACAACAACATTAGTTGCGCTGACGATAACAACGGAAATTGCGATTGAGAAACAACGACAGATTGCAGGAAAAGCAGAGACCGTTCCGAGTTGCAACTTTTGTGTCGCTACAATAGTTGCAAGGCCGTTGCGAACAACGGTGAAGGGTGGAAGACAGCCTTCCGGAAGGAAGATAAGGGTCTTATTTCCCCGGATTCAAAAATCCGGAGGTGTCTCGGCACTGAAACTTTTATCGACTTATATAAACTTTTAGCTTCCCTGTCATGTCCTGATTTGAATTTAATTAAATCTGAATTCATTCTACTAAGATGAGAAGCTAGGAGTTGGGGGAAATGGTTGATCCATCTTCGATGGAGATGATGATTTTTATCTACTGAACAAAAACAATAATAATTCAATAAGTAGTAGTAGCCCTGTTTTTAGGAGTGACCTCGTGGTCTGGGGACACTGAGACCCAGCCATGAGCTCACTATTTCTGCAGTTAATTAAGTTAATTTGGTGTTTTGACTTAAGCCGAAAGCAGTAACGTTTTTTGTCGACCCGATGTTAGAAAGACCACCGAAAGTACTGGCTTGGTAGAGAAGGTTAAAAACATGTAAAGCTCTGTTTAGACGTTAGCCAGTCGTCTTAAGACTTAGTTTTATTTTCCGTCGATATGTATCTTCCGGGCGAATGTTACATTAGAAGGACCACCAAAAGAACTGGCTTTGGTAGAGACGGTGAAAAACATGTAGAGCTCTGTTTAGACGTTGGCCAGTCGTCTTAGAAACTAGCTTTATTTTCCGTCGTTATAAACTTCCGGGCGAATGTTACACTCCTATCGTAATCTCAATCGTCAATATTGCTGTGTCTGTGAGAAAATCTCTCTTCTGCTCTACCAGCGAAAATCGTCGTTCTGATCTTCGCACTTTTTCAGTTAATGCGAAATTTCAAAGTCATGACGTCTTTATTTCAGAAGGATTTTTAAAATTTATTTCGTCACTCCAAATTGACCTCTCCTAATTCGTCAAATTGTACGATTAGTACAATTAATCCATCAAAACTGCTAATTTTCCCACTCGATTGTCACAATAAAAATTCGTGTGTTGCCATGCATTTTGACGGCATTCTGGTCGAATGTCACATAAGCGGACGACTGTTACAATAGATGATATCTGCTTCTTGGGAAAGGCATGCAAAATCTTGTCACTAAAGTCCCTCCATAGAGGACCTTCCACACAAGATTTGTAAATTCATATCATATCAAACTATTTAATAAGTTTTCGGGGTCATTCTGGTCGAATGGCACAATTTTGTGTAGTTTTCGATCGATCAATGTTTCTGAATACTTATTTGATGACAGCAATTTCTTGCTCGTTATTTTTTAACGAGTAGAACATCGCCTGAGACACGCGTAACCCTTTTTTTTGTATATCAAGTTTTCACTTTTTCATTTCGTTTCTTCGAAATAGTGACTTTAATCTCATTCTGTCTGCTTTCTTGCAATGCTGATGTTTGTGCTTCGCTTTTGTAGGTAGTTATGAGTGGGGGCTTGCCGCGTCGTATTATGAAAGAAACGCAACGACTGGTAACTGAACCAGTTCCTGGAATTGATGCTAAACCCCACGACAACAATGCAAGATATTTCAAAATTACGATAGATGGACCAAAGGATTCGCCTTACGAGGGCGGTAAATATCATTTGGAACTATTTCTACCCGAAGAGTACCCAATGGCGGCACCCAAGGTCAGGTTTACAACTAAGATCTATCATCCGAATATCGACAAGCTGGGTCGGATTTGCCTGGATGTTCTTAAAGACAAATGGAGCCCTGCTCTACAGATTCGCACAGTACTATTGTCTATTCAGGCACTTTTGAGTGCTCCGAATCCAGATGACCCCTTGGCAAATGACGTCGCGGAGCAGTGGAAGTCGAATGAAGATCAAGCCGTTGAAACAGCTAGAGCTTGGACGCGTCTCTATGCTAATGGAAACTGAAGATGATAACTCTTACATCTAATCCTGCACATATTATAATTCAATGCTGTTTCATTTACTACGTCGTAATTTTTTCTGAATGAAAAACTGATGGAATGTCTGATAATTATGTACCATTTTTGAATTTAGTTTGATTCCCCGATTTTTTCGCATCAAATAATCTAGTATTTTTCATTTGATGAAGCTTTATTAGTTTTTTTTTCACCAGCGAGTGTACTATTTCATTACGAAAGCACTTTTTTTTCAACCTCGCGAATAAAACTTCTCATTTGGCAGAACTGTCGCTCATTGCTGCGGTGATTTGATAACATGTTTAGACTGCTTTATTGAGGGCTACTGTTTGCCTGTTGTCAAGCAATCATGGCGAAGGACGCGAGATTCGTTAACTCCAGGTCTTTGGGCTGATTCCTGCACTGCACATAGTTACCTTTTTCAAGGTCCATATTAAGAGACAATGAACGTAGTGAAGAGTTTTACATAATCCGTGATGATTGTTTCGTTTGTTTTGTTTTCAGGAAAAACACTTTTCATGCTTGAATTCAAATTCAAGCTTTGATATCTTCTGAAGATCTTTGAAAATGAAACATTTTGCCTTAATTTTTTTACTATTCTTTCGCAAGTGTTTATTGAAGAAGTCATGAAGTAAATTGTTCCCCACACCATGGATACCGTTTTTAGTGAGCAGCAAGGAGGGGTATCCGTGAGCACAAATGAAGTTGAGGGGGATAAACTAGATAATGTTTCGAACGAGGTTGTAAAACTAAAAGCCTTAAATAACGAATTGAACCTTCGAGTAGTATATGTTGGGGCTGAAGTGGGGGTGGTTGGTAAACGACGAAAAAAGAAGAAAACAAAGGAGTGATGAAGAAAAAGTTAAAACTCAGAATTGTTTTATGTGTGTGAAAAAACTCAAATGAGAAACCAAGCAACCAAGTTGTAATTGAAAACTGAAATATTTAGTTGAGTTTTGAAGTTGTTGCATTTATAAATTTGCATTTTGATTTTAGTTAAGTGGCTTCAGATACACCTACTTACTATTTATTTAGAAAGGCTTGAGTGAAAGAGTATAGTTAAATAATCCAGCCTGCATGACTGTTTTTAATCAGCTAGGAGAACTGATCACTTTGTGGTGACATGAAAGGCTTGGGTAATCTCTCGAAGAGGAAGATTGTTTCATTGTTTTTTCTAACCACAGAGTTTCTTAGTTTTAATATTCAGGACAATAACAAGCGAGATTTCCGAAGGGAAGAAGCATAGTAGGATAATTTTAGCTTGTTGGTTGGCAGGACTGTCCTGAAAACCAACACCTTTTAAATTTAGGAGAAAAAGTTTTTAACTAGGACATTGACATTGGAAGTCGGAAAATGTGTTTTATCTTAGGTCATATCCTCAATGTGCAGATTATTGAAAGAATTTGAAGGCTATAGTGATGTAGTATGATGCCATTTATATTCTGCAGTGAGTCGATATGACGTGGATAAAAGTAATTTCGGGCATTTTGTAACTTCTGTTCGATGACACTGTACCTATTTTACGAACATTGCGAGTTTCAATGAGGACATTGACCGGACTGTCCGGGGAGTATGTGACTTTCGATTCAGCATATTCGAAATTTTAGCAGTGAACCTTCCGAATTGGCGATTTTGAAGGAATAAGAGCGTTATTAGAACGATTGGCCAAACGGTGAGGGCTAGAATATTCTGGTATTTTGAAATTTTAAAAATTCGAATTATGACGTCATATTTCTGAGAAACGTCAGAAACGGCCATTTTTGGCAGAAAGTCGAAGAAAAACACAACAACATTAGTTGCGCTGACGATAACAACGGAAATTGCGATTGAGAAACAACGACAGATTGCAGGAAAAGCAGAGACCGTTCCGAGTTGCAACTTTTGTGTCGCTACAATAGTTGCAAGGCCGTTGCGAACAACGGTGAAGGGTGGAAGACAGCCTTCCGGAAGGAAGATAAGGGTCTTATTTCCCCGGATTCAAAAATCCGGAGGTGTCTCGGCACTGAAACTTTTATCGACTTATATAAACTTTTAGCTTCCCTGTCATGTACTGATTTGAATTTAATTAAATCTGAATTCATTCTACTAAGATGAGAAGCTAGGAGTTGGGGGAAATGGTTGATCCATCTTCGATGGAGATGATGATTTTTATCTACTGAACAAAAACAATAATAATTCAATAAGTAGTAGTAGCCCTGTTTTTAGGAGTGACCTCGTGGTCTGGGGACACTGAGACCCAGCCATGAGCTCACTATTTCTGCATGTAATTAAGTTAATTTGGTGTTTTGACTTAAGCCGAAAGCAGTAACGTTTTTTGTCGACCCGATGTTAGAAAGACCACCGAAAGTACTGGCTTGGTAGAGAAGGTTAAAAACATGTAAAGCTCTGTTTAGACGTTAGCCAGTCGTCTTAAGACTTAGTTTTATTTTCCGTCGATATGTATCTTCCGGGCGAATGTTACATTAGAAGGACCACCAAAAGAACTGGCTTTGGTAGAGACGGTGAAAAACATGTAGAGCTCTGTTTAGACGTTGGCCAGTCGTCTTAGAAACTAGCTTTATTTTCCGTCGATATAAACTTCCGGGCGAATGTTACACTCCTATCGTAATCTCAATCGTCAATATTGCTGTGTCTGTGAGAAAATCTCTCTTCTGCTCTACCAGCGAAAATCGTCGTTCTGATCTTCGCACTTTTTCAGTTAATGCGAAATTTCAAAGTCATGACGTCTTTATTTCAGAAGGATTTTTAAAATTTATTTCGTCACTCCAAATTGACCTCTCCTGATTCGTCAAATTGTACGATTAGTACAATTAATCCATCAAAACTGCTAATTTTCCCACTCGATTGTCACAATAAAAATTCGTGTGTTGCCATGCATTTTGACGGCATTCTGGTCGAATGTCACATAAGCGGACGACTGTTACAATAGATGATATCTGCTTCTTGGGAAAGGCATGCAAAATCTTGTCACTAAAGTCCCTCCATAGAGGACCTTCCACACAAGATTTGTAAATTCATATCATATCAAACTATTTAATAAGTTTTCGGGGTCATTCTGGTCGAATGGCACAATTTTGTGTAGTTTTCGATCGATCAATGTTTCTGAATACTTATTTGATGACAGCAATTTCTTGCTCGTTATTTTTTAACGAGTAGAACATCGCCTGAGACACGCGTAACCCTTTTTTTGTATATCAAGTTTTCACTTTTTCATTTCGTTTCTTCGAAATAGTGACTTTAATCTCATTCTGTCTGCTTTCTTGCAATGCTGATGTTTGTGCTTCGCTTTTGTAGGTAGTTATGAGTGGGGGCTTGCCGCGTCGTATTATGAAAGAAACGCAACGACTGGTAACTGAACCAGTTCCTGGAATTGATGCTAAACCCCACGACAACAATGCAAGATATTTCAAAATTACGATAGATGGACCAAAGGATTCGCCTTACGAGGGCGGTAAATATCATTTGGAACTATTTCTACCCGAAGAGTACCCAATGGCGGCACCCAAGGTCAGGTTTACAACTAAGATCTATCATCCGAATATCGACAAGCTGGGTCGGATTTGCCTGGATGTTCTTAAAGACAAATGGAGCCCTGCTCTACAGATTCGCACAGTACTATTGTCTATTCAGGCACTTTTGAGTGCTCCGAATCCAGATGACCCCTTGGCAAATGACGTCGCGGAGCAGTGGAAGTCGAATGAAGATCAAGCCGTTGAAACAGCTAGAGCTTGGACGCGTCTCTATGCTAATGGAAACTGAAGATGATAACTCTTACATCTAATCCTGCACATATTATAATTCAATGCTGTTTCATTTACTACGTCGTAATTTTTTCTGAATGAAAAACTGATGGAATGTCTGATAATTATGTACCATTTTTGAATTTAGTTTGATTCCCCGATTTTTTCGCATCAAATAATCTAGTATTTTTCATTTGATGAAGCTTTATTAGTTTTTTTTTCACCAGCGAGTGTACTATTTCATTACAAAAGCACTTTTTTTTCAACCTCGCGAATAAAACTTCTCATTTGGCAGAACTGTCGCTCATTGCTGCGGTGATTTGATAACATGTTTAGACTGCTTTATTGAGGGCTACTGTTTGCCTGTTGTCAAGCAATCATGGCGAAGGACGCGAGATTCGTTAACTCCAGGTCTTTGGGCTGATTCCTGCACTGCACATAGTTACCTTTTTCAAGGTCCATATTAAGAGACAATGAACGTAGTGAAGAGTTTTACATAATCCGTGATGATTGTTTCGTTTGTTTTGTTTTCAGGAAAAACACTTTTCATGCTTGAATTCAAATTCAAGCTTTGATATCTTCTGAAGATCTTTGAAAATGAAACATTTTGCCTTAATTTTTTTACTATTCTTTCGCAAGTGTTTATTGAAGAAGTCATGAAGTAAATTGTTCCCCACACCATGGATACCGTTTTTAGTGAGCAGCAAGGAGGGGTATCCGTGAGCACAAATGAAGTTGAGGGGGATAAACTAGATAATGTTTCGAACGAGGTTGTAAAACTAAAAGCCTTAAATAACGAATTGAACCTTCGAGTAGTATATGTTGGGGCTGAAGTGGGGGTGGTTGGTGACCCCCATGTTTTAAGATGGGGAATAGAGCATCGGTCAACAACCTATGTGCTCGGTCAGCAACCTATAAGATTGGGAATGGTTTTCCTATGTATTAAGATAGGTAATATGTTATGCCATAGGTTTGAGATGGTAAGTTTCAGAAAATTCTCTCGGCACCCGATCTTACCATGTTTTAAGATAGTGTATAGACTTCTCTATATAAAAGTAATAGACATTCAAAGTATTAAGATAAGTTTTGCCATGTATTAAGATACGAGATTTGAGATGGTAAGTTTCAAAAAAGTTTTAGCCCCCGAATTTTTTGGAGCTCGAGTTTGCCGATACATGCGTTTCTTAGCTAACTCCTACGATTTGAGATATGTAAGGGCTATCTTAAAAAATTTCGGTATAATAAATTTGAGATGGTAATTTTAAGAATTTTTTTTTTCTAAATTTTACTTGCATATACATTTTTATCTTGAAAAAAAAAACATTTTTTTTCTTGAGAAATCGAAAAAAATTTTTTTTGGATGTTAAGCTTCAGATGGTAAGTTTCGACAA